ATAACTTAAGAGGCAACATGGAGTTCTGCTCATTTAACTCCTTTGAACCAGACAAGTATGTTTACATGCACACTAATAATTCGCTAAACTGAGTATGGCATTAGTCATGTAATCACCTTCCTCTGCTTATCTTAAATCGGTGTAAGGTCAAAATCGAAATAAGCATATGCTGATTAAAACACCTGGTATTCTGAGCAATCTTTCAAATTATTAGGACATGTAAACCCCTTATAATCGGAGTTCTAGCCTCCCTCTTTTGTGCAAGTGAAATGAGTTCGGGAAAAACTGAAAGTATGCATCTCAGAAATAATTCACATTGAAATTCAGAAACTAATTGGCCTCCCTTAAATAACATGGTCGCTGTGGTAGAACATTTATTCTGATTGCCGATTTCCTGCATTTATAAGAGTGCCATGAGGTAGCTTGATTTCAGATATGTCAATGTAAACAGTGTGAAATCGTTCTTCTTGCAAAGCATGCAAACGTTTTAATCAAACTAGCTATTATATTAATCTGACTATCCACAGTAATTACATTATTGTGTGCATGTAACTGTACCCAATGTCTATATCTGAGCAGTAGTTCAACTAGGTGCCCTCCCTGGCATGGGGGTGAAATCCAATGATGAACCACTTGCAAAAAAACGGTCCTGCCATCATCTGCCTTTAGTCTTTGACCTAGTATCTACTCGCTAATGTGATGTCTTTCTTACTCTATCATCCAAGTCACCATTTCTTCAGTTTTCACAGAGTTGTTACAAAATGGTGGAGCTCCAAAATGGTGGAGCTGTGACGTAAGAGCTTTGGACCCTGGGAGTCCTGCTACATCCTGGGAAATCGGGGTACCGAAATATAATTTCCCTCAATAGATGAGCCACAACACCTCCAACACCACAGCTAGCCTAAAGCATTGGCCTGTTGGGGTTACTTCCTTGGGGTAATAATGGATTTGATGTGACTGAATGTGTTGTTTGTTGCCACTACATTGGCATCTCACAGAGATCATTCAAAAATGTCCTCTTGAACATATCAACAACAAAGAAGAGACTTCTAATACAGGGTATTTGCACAGGTTGGTCTGAGATACTAAAGCGCGAGGGCGGAGAAAGGGGAGAGGGATAGGAAAGAGACGAGAGAGAGACAAGAGCGAGCCACCGTGTGAAGCGGGCGTAGTCGAGCGGCACATGACTCCTGTCCTGGGAGCACCCCATCCATCATCCAGGCGGCGGCGCTTGCGGTTTTATGGCCGTTTCCCCGGCTGCACGGCGATAACACTGACATCATCAGCTACGTGGTGGAGGGATGGCCGATCGATAACACCGGGCCAAGCCATCCTTAAGCAGAAGCCCGCCAGCCCTGTGCCTGGCCTGGAACCGGGACAGATAAGGGATGTGGATGTGTCGGCCGCTATGCTAAAGAATGGCTACGAACATCCACCTTATCTTCTCACCTTAAAGAGGATATGATGTCCACTGTCACACAGTCGTGTAATAGCCATAACTCTGAGCGATAGGTTATGGAGCAGTAAGAGGGTGGGGGAAGATAAAGAGGGGTCAGTTGTAAAGCTGTGTGTGTGTGTGCATGTGTAATGGGTTGAGGAATGGGTTGGGGCCAGTGTCATCTGCGCTATCTAGATGTCCTTATGATTGCTTTTTTTTTTTTTTATCCAGCTTTCCCTGGACTTCACTGACAACATATCAGTGTCCACTTCCTGAGTCTCTGTGCTCGGAGTTTAAATCAACTAGGTTAAAATAAAAAAATCCCTAAGTACGTAATAATTTGGAAGGTAAAAGTGCCTTGAGCAAGCTTCCAGTTACAAATGGATCATCACATGCCACCACTATTTGCTAAATGTTATTTTTGTGTGTGTGCACTTAATAGTGTGTGAGTGTGCGCGCGCACTAATACATGTGTGTTAGGGGTAATTCCACGGTTACAGAGTGACGATGACTCACTTTTTCACTTTAAAATATATGCCAAGCAAAATCCTCTGATTGCAAAGTTTAACAAACCATACACCTATACACAGCCTACCTTTAACAATTGCCACTGAACATTTTACTAAAATACATTTACATGAGGAACGGTGCAGATGCAAAGTTTGGTAACTGAATGACAGTAAAATCTCTTTTTTACGTGACCAATATCTACTCCGAATTAAGATTCAAAGATGTCTGCAGAAAGAATGGGGCGTCAGCTATAATATGACACCTTGAGTCTGAATTAACCTATTTTGTTTTTTGAACTACAGTAAGTGAAGTGGATCAACACCAGTAACAGAGTGAAGGTAACATAATGGCATCATGGGTCCTTGATCTGTACTATTCTGAAATACATCATTACCCTGAACAAAAATGTAAACGCAACATGTAAAGTATTGGTCCCACATTTCATGAGCTGAAATAAAAGATCCCAGACATTTTCCATATCCACAAAAAGCTTATTTCTCCCACAGATTTGTTTACATCACTGTTAGTGAGCATTTCTCCTTTGCCAGGATAATCCATCCACCTGACAGGGAGCATGCAATTGGCATGCTGACTGCAGGAATGTCAACCAGAGCTGTTGCCAGAGAATACTGACATGCTGGAGAAGTGCCCTCTTCACAGATGAATCCCGGTTTGAACTGTACCGGGCAGATGGCAGACAGCGTGTATGGCGTCGTGTGGGCGAGCGGTTTGCTTATGTCAACGTTGTGAACAGAGTGCCCCATGGTGGAGGTGGTGTTGTGGTATGGGCAGGCATAAGCTACAGAAAACGAACACAATTTTTTCTATGGCAATTTGAATGAACAGAGATACCGTGACGAGATCCTGAGGCCCATTGTCGTCCCATTCATCCGCCACCATCACCTCATGTTTCAGTATGATAATTCACGGCCCCATGTCGCAAGGATCTGTACACAATTCCTGGAAGCTGAAAATGTCTCAGTTCTTCCATGGCCTACATACTCACCAGACATGTCACCCATTGAGCATGTTTGGGATGCTCTGGATCGACGTGTACGACAGCATGTTCCAGTTCCCGCTAATATCCAGCAACTTCGCACATCCATTGAAGAGGAGTGGGACAACATTCCACAGGCCACAATCAACAGCCTGATCAACTCTATGTGAAGGAGACGTGTTGTGCTGCATGAGGCAAATGGTGGTGACACCAGATACCGACTGATTTTCTGATCCACGCCCTTACCTTTTTTTTTTTTAAGGTATCTGTGACCAACAGATGCATATCTACAGTTGAAGTCGGAAGTTTACATACACCTTAGCCAAATACATTTAAACTCAGTTTTTCACAATTCCTGACATTTAATCCTAGTAAAAAGTCCCTGTCTTAGGTCAGTTAGGATCATCACTTTATTTTAAGAATGCGAAATGTCAGAATAATTTCAGCACATTCCCAGTGGGTCAGAAGTTTACATACACTCAATTAGTATTTGGTAGCATTGCCGTTAAATTGTTTAACTTGGGTCAAACGTTTCGGGTAGCCTTCCACAAGCTTCCCACAATAAGTTGGGTGAATTTTGGCCCATTCCTCCTGACAGAGCTGGTGTAACTGAGACAGGTTTGTAAGCCTGCTTGCTCGCACACGCTTTTTCAGCTCTGCCCACACATTTTCTATAGGATTGAGGTCAAGGCTTTGTGATGGCCACTCCAATACCTTAACTTTGTTGGCCACACAGCCCAGTTTAACCAACGATGAAATACTCCAGACCACAAGGTGGCAGTAGTTTGTTTGGCTTGTGCCTGCTGTAGATAGCCAATGTTCGCTAGCTAACTAGCAAGCTGCGCTAATGCTGTTGCTAGCCAACTAGAATTTGTCGTAAGTCCTTGTTGATAATAGCCAGATGGCCACAACTAAATAAATAGCGTAGCTAGCAACATTATAATTAAATCACAATGGATAAATGTTTTACGAAGCAGCTGCCTGTAAGATGCCAAGAGTCAGTGGAGAAGTTGGCTAATTATGTTTTGCTACTGGCAAATGGCAACACGAACCGTTAACCTAATGTTAACTAGCAAGCAAACTGGCAGTATGGGATAATAGAGAGTGAATTTAAGTATTTCTTCATCACCTTGCTAGATAGCTAGCTTGGTAAAGCATTAATTAAGTCAGAGTTTCTAAACCCAGAGGCGCAACACCGTGAGACTGCCGGGAACAATTGCAAAACAGACCAAACAGGCCAGGCTAGGGTTTGGGAAGTCAATGAAAGAAGTGAAAAATCCCTCCTTAGTTGTTAATTTTCTTGAAATCTAAAAGGCACAATCTAGATTAGAGCCAACCTCATGAAAGTGATAAGCAGACACGTTTTCATTCATCAAAAACTACTTCATATCGAAGGAGCGCCTTTGATTTGACGGCCTGCACATGCTCAGTTCGGCGCGAGATGACCGTTAGACCCAATGACATATTTCTGCGCATGAGCTTAGCTAGCCAACGTTGCCATGACCTCACCTACATGTGTGATCAGGATTTCTATTGGAGAAGCAGTTTCTGCCTATCTCCACACGTACAGTCTTTGATTAATTGTGGCATTTTGCTGCACTTACCACCCCATTCGTTTCATTTGAAGTGTGTGTGACTGCCTTGCTCAGTTAACAAGCTAAGGTTATGACAATATTTCTTAATCTAGGCAATGTTTCTTAAAACTTACAGAAGGAATATAATTTCTGCAAAACTAAATATTAAATGTTGACATTAGTTGGCATTGGCCTTTACTTCAACATTGTTTTGATGGATTTCTAATACATTAAGACTTTTTCTAGTTTATGTTTTTTAAGACCCCTTTTCCATCTGTGTGACCAGAAATCAAAGCCTTTGCTTATTCCAAATTGTTGGGATGGAAAATGGTGGAAAAACATATCTATGCCTTCATTTCCCAAAAAGATTGACTCCGCTTTCATTTCCAAATTCCAAATTTGATATGCTCCTATAAAACGTCACGTTGGTGCTCATGGGTCCTTTTACATGGAAATTACCTTAGACATAAATCACAATTGCATGCTTGGTGTGATAGGAAACCTGTGTGTGCCCCTCTCCTCCCCGTCTGCCTGGGCCAATGGGGAGGTGGTAAAGGGCAACATACTGGTCACGAGAGCATCCCACACTAACGCCTTGTGACAAGGTGGTGCCCTTCCACTGTGCTGAACCACTGCTGACACTGATGTAGCACCACGATTCCCTGAAGAGATGGGGAGTGATGGAGGGAGGGAGACAAATGGGGGGAGAGAGATCGAAAGAAAGCGCTAAGGTCAGAAGAGTGGCTGTTTAAGGCCTCTAGTCGTCTGTGTCTGTGGGCTCTTTTCCCTCCTCTCCTGGCAGCTTATCAGTCTGTGATTACACCGTTCATCTTTAATTAGAATATGGTGGAAGTGGAACAGCTCTCGCACGCTCTCTGTGCTGCAGGTGTAGCGGTGTACCAGACAGTTAGAATAAAGACATCAACGTTGGTCCTCTGTAGCTCAGCTGGTAGAGCACGGCGCTTGTAACGCCAAGGTAGTGGGTTCGATCCCCGGGACCACCCATACACAAAAAAATGTATGCACGCATGACTGTAAGTCGCTTTGGATAAAAGCGTCTGCTAAATGGCATATTATATATTATATTATAACGTTTCCAGCAGTGACAGTACATAGGAGAACCTGGATTCCCACAGATGCTGGGTACAGATAATACCAAATAAATATCAGTAAAAAGGTCATGTTCTAGAAGTGTCGCCAAACTCAGAAAGCACATAGTACAGTCACCAGGGGAATGGTCCCAAATTTGGGAAATTCCAGTGTTTCCCCTTTCTTCATTTAACAGCGGTGGAATGGTGAAATGTTTTCAGTGTAAACGTAAAACAACTCAAACCAGATATAAAGTATGTAGAAACGATATTGGAGCGATATAGTTTTTAAATAAGATCATTTTTGAGAACTAACAATCACCAAAATAAAAACTAGACAGTCAGGGAGAATCAAAAATTCCAAAAATGTCATGGCATGGGGTTATAATGTTTGAGTCATTCAGATAGCAAAAGAACACAGCGTAAGCCATGGAAAAATGTGTAAAATTGCAGGAAATTAGCTATAAAACTGAATTGTTTTCTCTCAGCACAATGAAAGAATTTGTAGAATTGCAGGAAATTAGTTTTAAAACCGCAATATTTTGTCTCTGCGGTCAAGAGGAGGGCCTCTAAAATTTTGGTTGGAAACAGCGCCATTTGCCACACCCACTTCCGCGCCTCTCCAACACCCCCCACCCTAACTTTGCCACCTCTGCTGAAAACAATCCTAAGGGAAACACTGTATTCAGCCCATTGCAGATAAATGGAGAGGAAGACAACTATCCTCACCTCTTCAATTAGGTCCCTACACTCAGAACCCCTGCTGTTGACTCCCCCTCGTCCTACCCTCCTCTCTTCCCCTGGTCCCCTTAGGTGGACTTCCTGGAGGAAACCCAGGGGCTCCATGGGGGAGAATCTCCAGTGAGAGTCGAACAACATGACAGACTCACACACAGGAAATGGATGGAGAGGACTTGGGAAATGAAGAAGAAAGAGGGGTAAAACAACACTACAGGGGTCTGTATCTTCAAACACACACCCCTTTGCAAAGCAAAGTACCATCTTATAGAAAAATAATTTGAGTGGGTGAAATGTGTGTCTTTGACAAGATTGGGCACTGTAGTGCTTTTCTACCTCTGCACTCACTACGTCTATACACACACACACACATCTCTCTCAAAGCTTGATACATTGGCTACATGCAGAAAGATGCATTTATGCACATGCAGGTAGACACACACAAATGCACAGGTGTGCTCCGGGTTAGCCTGCTAACTATGGGTGGAATGCATGAGAGTACCTCTTGCTGGGAGCTCTTCCCATGATCTCGCACTCCACTGTGCTTCTATGGGTCTCCAGCCTCTCAGAAACAAAGTGCCCCAGATAAAACAGCTGACTCACTCAGTCGCTCACAACCACAGACTGAGAGGCTCCTGAGCCCCACTAAGATATGCTGGAACTGTACTGATATACTCCGAGATATACTTTAGGTTGCATTTGCTGTCAATCATTCACTGCTGTAGGCCAAAAAATGCTTCAGAAAAGAGACGTTAGAAAACTCCCATTGGATGTCTGCATCGCTGATCCTGCCCATTGAAGTTCGGAGCCCTCACCTCATTCGCCAGCATTATTCATAGCCTCAGCTGAATGTTGCTTAGTAATCCCCTGTGGCCAATAGCCAGACAGCAGGGTTACTGACAGTTGCCATTGATTGCTGATCCCTTAGCACAGAACTGAGAGGGCACATACCAGGAACACAGCCTGAAAGGCCAACTGCGCCTTACATCATTAGAACAGCTCACTAAATGTGCATTTCTCTCTCTGTCAGTCACCTTTTCCCCTCGCTACCCGTCTCATTCCCTCTCGTTACTCGTTTCGATTCTCTTTCTTGTTCTTTTCTGACTAAATCCCGCATTCTTCTCTCGTTCCTTCCCTCTCGTTTCATCACTCCTTTTTCTCTTGCTCTCGTTTCTAATCTCTAATCATTCCCCTTTCTCCCTCTGTTGCAATTGTATCTTGTCTCGAGGAGCACTGCAGCGAACAGTGGCCCACATCCTGGGCCTTCATCTCCATGGTCACCATTCATCCAAACATCATGGCCCCCTTTTGTCACACAGGGACATGGCGGGCAATTCAAACTGCCCTCACAAAGGCTGATAACCCCCATTCACACAAGATCTCACCCATTTCTTTCACTGGCATGCTCCATTCACAGTATTCGTAATGTGGGCATATACCATCTTTGCAATTCAGGGAGGGATGGGGATTTGTGATCGATAAGAGGAGACCCAGTGCATCCACTTTATTATTGAAGGATGTCCTCTGAAATGTTTTACACGCTTATGGGTGGACACAAAGATTTCTAGGAAACATTGGGTATATAGGCTTCTGCGAGACAGGACCAGTTATTCTTCAACCCCATAAAAACCTGAAGAGATATTGTCCTCAATGCTGCAATAGGATCCGTTTTTCCTCCCCCAACTCTGGCCTTGACCACTCAAAGACAGATCTAACTGACTGGACCAGCACAAGAACCCGGAGAACCTTTGTAACAAGCTATCATCATCCATGAATCGGCAATGATGGAGGGAAAAAAAAACATGGAGAGAACACCGTCTCAACTCAAGCACACTTTCTAATGGTTCAGATACAATCGTTCCTTAATGCCATTCCCCTGCCTTATACTCGGGTCTCAAACAAGGCAGTCATTCAGAAGCGAGTCACTAATCTGGCCAACAAATTCTAAAGCTGCTGCCTATAATTAGCTCCTTTCTCTATCAAACACAGGCTTCCACTTTCAATCAAACTTTTCAACATCACTTTTCCTAGTAAGACACAGGCCTGATTTAACAGCTCCAGTTCTGTTAAACATTTCCACAATATATGGAGTCTCCCTAGGCTGGCAGCAATGTGAGATCTTTGAATGAACAGGTGAAAATCTACTGTTTCATTCAGTGGCAAGGTGGTTTGAGGAACTAGAGTCTGTGTCCTCATCATCACTTAATGAGATGTGGCATGGCTACTGTTGGATAGAGTTAAGGATTTAGTGACCGATGTTTGTATTTTCTTTGTCCTTCTTACTCAAACCAGCACTTTACTTCCTGGCATTTGTTTATGGATCCCCATTAGCTGCAGCCAAGACAGCAGCTACTCTTCCTGGGGTCCAGCAAAAATTAAGGCAGTAATATACATTATAATACAATTTTTAAACATTAACATTTTACAACAGATTTAACAATACATTAAGTGTGTGCATTGATTCTGCTGATTGTGTTCAGCCCACAGTTCAGCTAAATGATGTTAGTCTATACCGAAGGCTGGACAATAGACGTTAGACCCATTGATTGGTCTTTGTTAGAACCAACAGGACTGGATGTGCATGGCTGTGAGGAAATGTGTGGGCTAGTAGAGGGGGAAATGAGGCTTCAGAACTAGTAGAACTCGTTATTTACAGCATGTATAGTATAAGGCCTTGAAAGCCCATTACCCTCCTGAATCTATTACAGGTGTATTGTGAGGGTCAGGACCTGCTAATAAACAGGACAATGACGAGAGGTGCTCTTGCTCCTAGAGAAGTTGAAGACCTCCGATGCTCCTCTCCCCTGAAACGTGTGATGAGGCCTCGTATAAAACTCACTGTCTGTATCGACCCAAATCAGTATGTCCTGGACTTGGTTAGTATGACATGGCCTGGGCCCTCCACTGTGTGTGGATGAGGAGGCAGACCAGGGACTCGCGGCACAACCTGTGGCCCAGGGAGGGGCAAGGGTGAGCGGGAACAGCGGAGCGGAGGGCCTGCTGCGCGAGCAAATGGCACAGCTATTAGTGAGGGAGGAGGCTTCCTGGTGAGGTGTGACTGCGCTGCAAAGGGCCTAATCAGACTGAGAACAGGAGGTCCTGACTGCTAATACCTTACCTGGGAGCAGAGAGGCAGGCTAGCTAAGCAACAAACCAAAGTGGGTTTGTGATCGGTTCAGTGGAAGAGCAACTAACCAAAAAAGTGCAGTTGAATTCACGGGGGTAATATAGCCTGTGACTCTTACTGAGAAGAGTTGATCGATAAATGGGTAGAATGTAGAATTGAAATACTGGTAAAGTATTTAGTATTTAGAGTAATACCATATTGCTGCTCCATGCCATTGGTGGTGTTTGCATGAGTCTGATCCATGGGTTTGTGCAGTGTCCAGTGAGAAAGGTATTTCCTATGAACTTGATTGAGATCAAGGAAATGTTCAGTCATCCATTTTCCCATATAGCAGGCAATCATAGACCAACATAGCAGAAAATGATTCTACACGTCCACCTTTACTCTATCTGGAAGAGGTTTTAGAATTTGCCTCAAGATGAAGTGAAATCTTCATATACAACTCTGGCATAACCAATGACCCAGTATGGAGAGCCTGCTACAGTGCTTTCAGAAAGTATTCATACACCTTGCCTTATTCCAAATGTTGTTGTTTTACAGCCTCAATTCAAAATGTATTACATTGAATTTTATTCTCACCCATCTACACAAAATACCCAATAACGACAAAGTGAAAATATGTTTTTTGAAATTTTAGCTAATGTATTGAAAATTAAATACACAAATATCTAATTTACATAAGTATTCACACCCCTGAGTCAATACATGTTAGAAGCACCTTTGGCAGTGATTACAGCTGGGAGTCTTTCTGGGTCAGTCTCTAAGAGCTTTGCACACCTGGAATGTACAATATTTGCCCATAATTTTATTTTATTTTTTATATTCAAATTGGTTGTTGATCATTGCTAGACAACCATTTTCAAGTCTTGCCATAGATTTTCAAGTAGATTTAAGTCAAAACTAACTCAGACACTGTTTTAGGTTATTGTCCTGCTGAAAGGTGAATACATCTCCCCTATTTTTTATTCTGTACAGGCTTCCTTCTTTTCACTATCAATTAGGTTAGTATTGTGGAGTAACTACAATGTTGTTGATCCATCCTCAGTGCTGTCCTATCACTGTCCTTAAACTCTAACTGCTTTTTAAAAAGTTACCATTGGCTCCATGGTGAAACCCCTGAGCGGTTTCCTTCCTCTACGGAAACGGAGTTAGGAAGGACGCCTGAATCTTTGTAGTGACTGGGTGTATTGATACACCATCCAAAGTGCCATTAATAAATTCACCATGCTCAAAGGGATATTCAATGTCTGCTTTTTTATTTTTACCCATCTACCAATAGGTGCCCTTTTTTGCGAGTCATTGGAAAACCTCCCTGGTCTTTTTGGTTGAATCTGTGTTTGAAATTCACTGCTCAACTGAAGGACCTTACAGATAATTGTATGTGTGGGGTACAGAGATGAGGTAATCATTCAAAAATCACGTTAAACACTATTATTGCACAACGAGCGAGTCCATGCAACTTATGTGACTTAAGCACATTTTTACTCCTGAACTTATTTAGGCTTGCCATAACAAAAGGGTTGAATCCTTATTGACTCATAATTCCACTTTGACATTATGATGTATTTTGTGTAGGCCAATGACACATTTTTTTTATCCATTTTAAATTCAGGCTGTAACACAACAAAATGTGGAAAAAGTCACAGGGTGTGAATAATTCCTGAAAGCACTGTACTTCCTCTTTTGACCTTTGTAAAACTTTCTCCACCTCAAATAAAACTTACTCCCCCTCAAATAAAACCTAAACACCCTCTCGGCTCCTCTCCAAACAGAGGGAGGAATGAGCGCTCAATCTCTTCCTCCATCCATCCCTCCATGTGTTCAAAGAGACAGATTCTTGTTTGTTATGAAAAGTGCTATAAAAAAAAAAAGGGCCAAACCCTTCCTGCATTCCTTTCTTAGCAGGCACTCCATATCACAGACCCTGGGTGGTGGGAGGTCTACTCAGATCCTACTATCCGCAGAAGCAGGGCTGAGAGACAAGGGAGCCTACTATTTCATTAGTCAAACAGCCTGGAAGTACTAGGAAGGAGAGAGGCTATAGTGTAAGTGTAGGCCAAGGCTGTGTGTGTGTGTGTGTGTGGAGGGGGTCCTGCCCTTGACACCCAAACCAACAACTCCATAATGGTATTGTCATACTTGCCAATTCATCTGAAGCAGTATAATAAGGAGATGACTAATACAATACTCCAATAGACCTATAAATCGCTGAATAATAAGAATAGGAAGGCTGAAGAGGAGGCTGGTGGGAGGAGCTATAGGAGGATGGGCTCATCGTAATGGCTGGAATGGAATTAATGGAACGGAATCAAACATGTGGTTTCCATATGTTTGATAAATGCCATGTAATCGATTCCAGTCATTACAATGAGCCCATCCTCCTAGAGCTCCTCCAGCCCACCTCCAATGGTGGGCTGTTGTTAAGAAATCACTCTTTTGATCAGCATTTTTTTTTTGTTGCAGTGAAAATAACTCCCCAATTGGCAAACTCACCAAACACACGTCATGGTTTGATTAACTTTTGACTGTGTGACCTTAGCTGAGGAACGTGGACTCATTTCAACTCAATTATCCGTGGTCACCAAATTCCTCAAACGCAAAGGCCTGTATACTGTTACATAACCTGACTATTCATTGAAACGAATGAAATCCCCTAATAACAAACACGGCCGAAGAACTACAAAACAGTCAGACTTGACTCAGACCTCTGAAGGAAAAGACATCGGTTACAAAACTACAGAAAATCTATAGGCCCCAATAGCCTACAATTCACCAAAACTCGTAAAACTAGAAGTGTGTCTAACCGTCTCGAACGTGATAACTGGCAGACAGAAATACAAGTGACAATTGACAGAGTGGAGAACAGGTTAGGTAAACAAACCGTGGCTGTTTGTCAACATGTCAGAGAGCCTTTATATCCGTAGAGGAAACCGTCACTAAATAACTAAACTCTACGCGCTGAGCGATCTTGGATAGCGTATTCCACGATACTACATGCACTAACATAGGAGTGGCCACAATGCGGTTTTCACGCAATCTCAACAAAAGCGTTTCTCGTGTGAGTGTAAGCACAAATGAATATTAATGGGAATGTCATCCTATTTGTGTAGTTACATTATTGGACGAAACATTTGCTTTTGTAAGGCACTTAGATATACAATGTTGCAACTTGCATCACTGAAACAATGATCGATATGGTGCGCAGTCTATATGAACGTTCCATTTTGAAGTTCAAAATTCATGTTCACAGAATACAGTAACTCAAGAACTCGAGGCATGCAACTTCATACGATTGGGAATTGTAGCGTAGATTAAAAGAGGTCATAACATTTCGATGGGTAGGCTATAAAAACGTCCTCCCGAAACTGTTCAGTTTCTGTAGGAAACAAATGTCAAAACATGTTGACGGATTAAAAACATGCCTTGCACTCCAGCTGCCCCCAACTAGTTGGATACTATGGGCCTATTTGCATTTAGCTTTGAAACAAGACTGCCATATCAATAAAATATAACGAATATTATGTGTCCAGAGCTATCTTTTGACATGGGGCCTTGACCGACCACTAGTCCAAACTGATCCTTGAATAGAGGGGAAATGACAGCAGATCGTTGGGTGATGCAATGTGGCCAACAATAAGACAGGATTTTATTTGTTATTCGTAAAAAAAAACATGTACACGTTCTCTGCACATAACATAGGGCTATTACGCATGGCATGGGGACACTATTTCCAAATTGATCCAGACATTTTAGTCCATGGATGCTCCCTTCTGTCCATTCACATGTAATTGTGAACAAATTAAGAAAAAACGAAGGAACACTGCCCGTAATTGACACAGATAAACCACACTTTGACAACCATCTATTCCATAATTACATTTTATTTATTTATTTGGGCACATTGATTAAGCTGAGATTTTTTGTTTTAAGCAAGAGGGGAAAATCTCCCAGAAGAGCTTGGCCTGGCAAGCCTCAGTCCACACAGAAAGATTGCAAACCCGTGTTGCACATTTATTGTCTGAACGAGATTCACTTTTTATTACCCCCACTTCACTCCCAACTACTCATTTAAACCTGGGAAATAACTGTTATACGGAACATTGTTTTCATTGCCACATCATCATAATCAGTTAAAGTAAATTGTTTTCCTTTTTAACCCTTTTAGCCAAATAAAACATTATTGGCAAAATGAACTGGTACATACCATAGCATTCCTCCCTCTTCTCTCGTTCACTCCTTTCTCTCCAATGTCCTCCGTCGCAACTCGCAAAAACAGCACTCCCGACGTCTCGAGAATTTAATTAATAAAGAGAGGAAATTCTACTCCTCTAACAGTCACATACATATCAATATTTCCCTTTTGGACACTTGGTATATTTTTCCCCCTTTGAATCAAGTCTCCATTTTCACAAGTAGCCTAGTAAGTTTTCGGTACCATCTGCATGTTGAGTTCCGCCTCTTGCCTTTGGACACAAAAACACCTAAATTATCTCGGAAAATGCAGTAGAAGTTCAGTTTCTTGTCCGCTGAATGTTCGCGTTAGGAACGAGGGGGCGTTAGAAAGGCTTGATTCGTTGTGTTTTCCTCTTGGTTCACCACGTTGTTTTGACCAATTGTTATTTCCTTTGTTGTGTCCAATATACAGGTCTGCCCATACGCGTACACAGCATATGCCGTGTTAGGTGATGCGCAGTGCTCATTTAATAAATGCAACCCTAAATGTTGTGTTTCCTATGAGTATCGCTTCACAGAGTGTCCAAATGTATGACTGTGTGTAAGTGTATTTTTTTCAGCTTCCCAATAATGGCGGCCCGGCCCTTCTCCCGAATACAGCCTCTCCTCCTTACTATTCGGAGAGAATAGAGAGCGCGCTGTAGCCTACGACAACGTAGTCTCGCCCAGTGGCGCATGGACACAATTACAACACACAGACATTCTGTTTCTAAATAGTATAATTGCTTATATTCTCCTAATAATTAATGATATTCGTCATACTTCGTTTTATTTTATTTTGCTATATTAATAATATTCTTCAATTTAAAGCGGCAATCTGTGGTTGCGACATCAGTTTTTGGACACAAATTAATGATATACCCATTGATTCTTGAATAATATAGCTTATAAATGCCTCACGAACTAACGCTTTGAACACACCGACTTCGATTTGCGTTTTGGTACACCAGAAATACATTAATTTCCAATAGAACGCTACGTTTGCCTTGCAGCATTGCGTTGCAGAGGCAGTTGCAGTGCGTTCTGTGTGGTGCATACGTCAAACTGTACACGTAAACGGGTTGACAGAAATGGTAGCAGAAGGTGAATGTTGAATTTTTGTTGCACACATATCTAGATGATGCTACAAACTATTTTGGTCAATGAAACAGTCGGTGTGTTCAAAGCGCTAGTTCAACCGTCACCCACCATCAGAACGCAAAATATAAGCTTGTTTTACTGCAATGTTTGTAAACAAAGTAAACGTAAACAAACACTAACTCAAAACATGGCAAAATTACACAGTATACAAAACATTAAGAACACCTGCTCTGTCCTTGACATGACCAGGTGAAAGCTATGATCCCTTATTGATGTCACTTGTTAAATCCACTTCAATCAGTGTAGATGAAGGGGAGGAGACAGGTTAAAGAAGGATATTTAAGCCTTGAGACAATTGAGACCTGGATTGTGTATGTATGCCATTCAGAGGGTGAAAATATTTAAGTGCCTTTGAACGGGTATGGTAGTAGGTGCCAGGCGCACCAGTTTGTGTCAAGAACTGCAACGCTTCTGGGTTTCTCACGCTCAACAGTTTCCCATGTGTATCAAAAATGGTCCATGACCCAAAGGACATCCAGCCGATTTGACACAACTGTGAGAAGCATTGGAGTCAACATGGGCCAGCATCCCTGTGGAACGCTTTCGACACCTTGTGGAGTCCATGCCCTGATGAATTAAGGCTGTTCTGAGGGGGGTTCCTAATATTGGGTATACACAGTGTATTATTTTGATATTATGGATGGTCAGTCCTTGCATCCATAGCTCTGTCTATGAATTTTAGAGTGGTTACATGCCGGCACAACCGCGAGCTGCCCAGTGACACAAGACTTCCAGACGAGCTAAACCACTTCTATGCTCGCTTCGAGGCAAGCAACACTGAAGCATGCATGAGAGCACCAGCTGTTCCGGATGACTATGTGATCACGCTCTCCGTAGCCGATGTGAGTAAGACTTTTAAGCAGGTCAACATTCACAAGGCCGCAGGGCCATACAGATTACCAGGACGTGTACTCTGAGCATGTGCTGACCAACTGGCAAGTGTCTCCACTGACATTTTCAACATGTCCCTGACTGAGTCTGTAAAACCAATATGTTTCAAGCAGACCACCATAGTCCCCGTGCACAAGGACACTAAGATAACCTGCCTACATGACTACCGACCCGTAGCACTGACGTCTGTAGCCATGAAGTGCTTTGAAAGGCTGGTCATGGCTCACATCAACACCATTATCCCAGAAACCCTAGACCCACTCCAAGTTGCATACCTCCCCAACAGATCCACAGATGATGCAATCTCTATTGCACTCCACACTGCCCTTTCCCACCTGGACAAGAGGAACACCTACGTGAGAATGCTATTCATTGAATACAGCTCAGCATTCAACACTATAGTGCCCTCAAAGCTCATCACTAAGCTAAGGATCCTGGGACTAAACACCTCCCTCTGCAACTGGATCCTGGACTTCCTGACGGGCCGCCCCCAGGTGGTAAGGGTAGGTAACAACACATCTGCCACACTGATCCTCAACACGGGGGCCCCTCAGGGGTGCGTGCTCAGTCCCCTCCTGTACTCCCTGTTCACCCATGACTGCATGGCCAGGCACGACTCCAACACCATCATTAAGTTTGCCGACGACACAACAGTGGTAGGCCTGATCACCGACAACGATGAGACAGCCTATAGGGAGGAGGTCAGAGACCTGGCCGTGTGGTGCCAGGATAACAACCTCTCCCTCAACGTGACCAAGACAAAGGAGATGATTGTGGACTACAGGAAAAAAAAGAGGACTGAGCACGCCCCCATTCTCATCAACGGGGCTGTAGTGGAACTGGTTGAGAGCTTCAAGTTCCTTGGTGTCCACATCACCAACGAACTATCATGGTCCAAACACACCAAGACAGTCGTGAAGAGGGCACGACAAAGCCTATTCCCCTCAGGAGACTGAAAAGATTTTGCATGGGTCCTCAGATCCTCAAAAAATTATACAGCTGCACCATCGAGAGCATCCTGACTGGTTGCCTCACCGCCTGGTATGGCAACTGCTTGGCCTCCGACCACAAGGCTCTACAGAGGGTAGTGCGTATGGCCCAGTACATCACTGGGGCCAAGCTTCCTGCCATCCAGGACCTCTATACCAGGCGGTGTCAGAGGAAGGCCCTCAAAATTGTCAAAGACTCCAGCCACCCTAGTCATAGACTGTTCTCTCTGCTACCGCACGGCAAGCGGTACCGGAGTGCCAAGTCTAGGTCCAAAATACTTCTCAACAGCTTCTACCCCCAAGCCATAAGACTCCTGAACAGCTAATCATGGCTACCCAGACTATTTGCACTGCCCCCCCACCCCCACCTCCCACCCCATCTTTTTACGCTGCTGCTACTTTGTTAATTATTTATGCATAGTCACTTTAACTCTACCCACATGTACATATTACTTCAACTACCTCAACTAGCCGGTGCCCCCGCACATTGACTCTGTACCGGTACCCCCCTGTATATATAGCCTCCCTACTATTATTTTATTTGACTTCTGCTCTTTTTTTCTCAACACTTTTTTGTTGTTGTTTATTTTACTTTTTTATTATAAATAAATGCACTGTTTGTTAAGGGCTGTAAGTAAGCATTTCACTGTAATGTCTGAACCTGTTGTATTCGGCGCATGTGGCCAATAAAATTTGATTTGATTTGATTCCTCCAGCCTCATCCCTCAGCTTTGGACTCAAAAAACAGGGGTTGGGAAAATGCTTTGTTATTGTTTGAACTGCTGATTGCCACTTTAACATTACATACCCTTAATTTATAGAATAATTAGGAAATTAGGTTAATGCAATTCAGGACATGAAATGAGATGCAACTTGCAAGAACTGGAAAAAAAGCTACAACATTTTTTTAAATTGCATTTTAATCAATTTCCTGGAAATGACCCCAACTCTTGCAGGAGAACACATGTATCCATGTCTGGCAATTATAGATAAAAACCATTTTCACAATATCATGTCAGTTATGCATTCACCACACAAATAGACTCAGTTCTCTCTCCAAACTAGTAAATAGTAAACTTGTATTGCAATTGATGTATTTTATATAAAATACATCAATTGCATCAATTGCAATACAAATTCACTGACTTCCGTGCACAAATAATTCATGTACGACACTCCCAAATCTTACTTTCCAATACTAACCAATCATATATCTGATCAAGCGCACAGGGAGAATGGGAGAGAGAGCATAATTTTTTTGCCATTCAGAAAATCAATAATCTCAAAACGTATCCCCGGTCCTCTAGACTTATTCATGCTAGAACACTCATATGGCTGTTTATTTAATTGTTGGAGATAACTTTCACCTGAGAAGAATTCAGTAGTCCTGATTATAACATGTCAGTTTAAATTCTATGGCCTTCCCCAAGAGGATATGACTTGACAATATAAAACCACAAACACATGAAAGTTAAAGATAGAGATCCACAGAGAGAGAAATGATGTACTGCAAGCTAAATATGATTGTTGTTCTACAACTCAAACATATGTTTAGTGGCTTGGGGACTTTGTCACGCATTGAATCTCTGTCTCTCTCACACACACACACCAGTGGAGGCTTCTGAGGGGAGGACAGCTCATAATAATGGCCCGAACGGCGCAAATGGAATGGCATCAAACACATGGAAACCATGTGTTTGATGTATTTGATACCATTCCACCTATTCTGCTCCAGCCATTATCACAAGCCCGTCCTCCCCAATTAAGATGCCCCCAACCTCCTGTGACACACACACACACAGTGGCATACCGCAGTTTCGTGGGACCCCTCCCCCCACACACACACACCTTACAACATGCAGTCTCAATCAGGCTGTGACTAACTGATCCTTATGTATTCTTCAAGGTGTAAGTTCAGCCATACAAAGTAACATCTAATAACATCTAATAGGGTTATTGACAGTACATTTTATCATAATTACTTTGCTAAAAATTCTAAACAGTCTACATACTCTAACAGTTACTCTTGATCTGTGTATTTTACATTTTTTAAGATAGGTGAACATCCTCCATTTGAACACAAAGTTCAAAGTACAGCACCTCGAGCCAACAAGCTGCTTGCTGTCCAATCATATAAGTCAGTGAGTTCACAGCAATATTTGCATGACCCCAAGATTAGCAAGGGTCAAAGTTTCATTCATAATCTGTCCCTGTTTTACATTTTCTCCTCTACTACTGAACTACTACTGGCCCAACTATACCAATCTCCCTGAACAAGACCTTTCTGAACGTTGTTTGGTTTATAACCAAAGTATGAAATTGGGGAAATGCTCTGAACTGTTTCATACTCTCTTATTCATTTACAGCCACAACAGCCTTGGAAAACCATTGGAAAACAACTCAGCAAAGCAGTCTAACGAGAGAGGAGCTGCCCTGTTTTCTACTTGATTTCCCCCTTTTTCTTTCTCTCTCTATCCCATCTCAACTCTCTCTCTATGCAGCTGAAATATTTCTGGGTCCCAGGGGCATGCACTCACAGTTGTGCAATCCCTGACAATCACCACCCTCCCCCCTTCGGCCTCCCCGGCCCAACGCACGGCACAGAGGAGCTGTCCAAGCTGTCTGGACAATGTTCTGCAGCGGATCGGCTACCCACCAGACCAGTTAACAAAGTCATGGGCCCAGACTTAGCAGAAAACAGCCAAAGGGATGTAACATAAATGGCTGACCCTCCATTTTGTCACTTATTGATGTGGGATTGGGAAGAAAAGGGTATTCCCTGCCTTTGGTGTGAAAGTCACAGGCTTTGAAAGACAACACGTGTTTTGTTGTTTTTGCTGAGATTTAGTGTTGTGCCCCAGTCTTCCTGTATAATAGCCTATGTTATACCCTGCAAATAGGCCTTGTGGTTGAAGGCATGATGTTGGAGAGTTTGTAATGTATGTTTCATTTGGACTGTGGAAAAATTTAAAAGTAGCATGATTTCTTCCCTCTGGGTTAATAGGGTCAACAGAAATCAATGATAATGAAATAGCTCAAAATTATATTAGACAGGGGGCCTCCCGAGTGGCACAGCAGTCTAAGGCACTGCATCGCAGCGCTAGAGGCGTCACTACAGACCCGGGTTCAATTCCGGACTGTATCACCACTGGCCGTGATCAGGAGTCCCGTAGTGCGGTGCACAATTGGCCCAGCGTCCGGGTTAGGGGAGGGTTTGGCCAGGGGGGCTTTACTTGGCTCTTTGCACTCTAGTGACTCCTTGTGTCGGGCCGGGCGCCTGCAGGCTGACCTCAGTACTCAGTTGAAACGTGTTTATTCCGGGTTAAGCGGGTGGGTGTTAAGCAGCGCGGTTTGGCGGGTCATGTTTTGGAGGACGCATGACTCGACCTTTGCCTCCCGAGCTCGTTGGGGAGTTGCAACGATGAGAAAAAAGGGGTAAAATACAAAAATATATATAGATACTACCGGTCATCAATTTTAGAACACCTACTTATTCAAGGGTTTATCTTTATTTTTACTATTTTCTATATTGTAGAATAATTGTGAAGATATCAAAACTATGAAATAAACCATATGGAATCATGTAGTAACCAAAAGTGTTAAACAAATCAAAACATATTTTACATTTGAGATTCTTCAATTAACCACCCTTTGCCTTCATGACAGCTTTGCACACTCTTGGCAGTCTCTCAGCCAGCTTCACCTGGAATGCTTTTCCAATAGTCTCAAAGGAGTTCCCACATATGCTGAGCACTTGTTGGCTGCTTTTCCTTTGCTCTGCGGTCTGACTCATCCCAAACCATCTCAATTTGGTTGAGGTTGGGGGATTGTGGAGGCCAGGTAATCTGATGCAGCACTCCATCCACCTTCTTGTTAAAATAGCCCTTACACAGCCTGGAGGTGTGTTGAGTCATTGTCCTGTTGAAAAACAAATTATAGTCACACTAAGCCCAAACCAGATGGGATGGCATATCACTGCAGAATGCTGTGGTAGCCATGCTGGTTAAGTGTGCCTTGAATTCTAAATAAATCACAGACAGTGTCACCAACAAAGCACCCCACACTATAACAACTCCTCCTCCATGCTTTACTGTGAGAAATACACATGCAGAGATCATCCATTCACCCACACCGCGTCTCAGAAAGACACGGCAGTTGGAACCAAAAATCTCCAATTTGGACTCCAGACCAAATGACAAATTTCCACCGGTCTAATGTCCATTGCTCGTGTTTATTTGCCCAAGCAAGTCTCTTCTTCTTATTGGTGTCCTTTAGTAGTGGTTTCTTTCCAGCAATTCGACCATGAAGGCCTGATTCACACAGTCTCCTCTGAACAGTGGATGTTGAGATGTGTCTGTTACTTGAACTCTGTGAAGCATTTATTTGGGCTGCAATTTCTGAGCTGGTAACTCTAATGAATTTATCCTCTGCAGCAGAGGTAACTCTGGGTGTTCCATTCCTGTGGCGGTCCTCATGAGAGCCAGTTTCATCATAGCGCTTAATGTTTTTTGCGACGTCACTTGAAGAAACTTTCAAAGGTCTTGACATTTTCTGGATTGACTGACCATCATGTCTTAACATAATGATGGACTGTCGTTTCTCTTTGCTTATTTGAGCTGTTCTTGCCATAATATGGACTTGGTCTTTTACCAAATAGGGCTATCTTCTGTATACCCCCCTACCTTGTCACAACACAACTGATTGGCTCAAATGCATTAAGAAGGAAAGAAATTCCACAAATTAACTTTTAAGAAGGCACACCTGTTAACTGAAATGCATTCCAGGTGACTACCTCATGAAGCTGGTTGAGAGAATGCCAAGAGTGTTCAAAGCTATCATCAAGGCAAAGGGTGGCTCGTTGAAGTAGCTCAAATATAAAATATATTTTGATTTGTTTAACACTTTTTTGGTTACTACATGATTCCATGTGTTATTTCATAGTTTTGATGTCTTCACTATTATTCTACAATGTAGAAAATAGTAAAAATAAAGAAAAACCGTTGAATGAGTAGGTGTTCCAAAACTTTTGACCAGTAGTGTATATGTGAGACAAATCGATGATATATCTGCCTCTTTTTTCCTTTTCATAGCCTTTAATGCAATTTTCCATTTTATTTTAGATAATTGAATTCCTCCTAGCATACAACAACTCACAAAAACCATAGCACTTAGCTTGAAGTGATACTTTATCAACATACTTGAAGTGATGTCAACAAAATGTCATGTCTAATAAAAAGCATGAGCTGTCGCACACCCAGAGAACATCACTTAGTGTAGATGTGCTGACCAACGGAGAATAAACTGAAGAAGGCACAGTGATGCCAAAATGTTGGTGGTTTCGTACCCAATAAATTACTGGGAGTTTATACATTGAGTGTATGACTCTCTTTATTTGTTTTCATAACAAAATGAAATGTGCCATAAGTTACAATAATAAGTCAAAGTGCCTGTAAATGATTTATACTGCAAAATGTGCACTTTCCCTTTCTGACATTTTTGTTGCTTGATTGGCCAAACCTGAGCCAAGTGACTGGGCCTCACGAATCCGCAGCTGACACAAGAAGGCAGAGAGGGGTGCATGCTGGTTCTAGCAGGAAAATACCCTTTTCTTAAGTTTTTATCTAACGATTTTACTGGTCTAATAAAACTACATTTCCCACAATGCCTTGCGCCTTTAGGTTTTCCTGTACATCCTGCTCGGGAAGATAGCGGGCAATCGGTCGTCAAAACAATCCTATCATTTGGAGAATTTATGTAAAATCAAATATATAATCACTAGGCTACGGGAATTCATATTATTTAAAACAACCGACTCAAAGAAAAGACAATGGTATGTTTGCAATTGGGTACATTTTGTGGCCAATTGCTTTGCTCTAACGTTAGCATAGCTGCTAGCTAGCTAACGTCGTTCGCCAGTCTCCTGTGAAATGTATGAGAAGCCTAGAAATCATAGCTAGCTAGATAACGTTAAATATTCGAATTAAACAAACCTAACTATATAAAGGAATCGATTAGCTACATCCGGCTCCCAACTTTGTTTTACGAAGCAACGGCCTGGCTTGCATTTATATCAATAACGTTAGACTAGTTAGCCACCTAGCTAGTTCGCTATCTAACATAGCTAACTAGCTATATATCTTGACATGACAGGGAGTGGCTAGCCAGGCTAGCTAACGTTAGTTAGTAATCTAGTTGTTGTAAAGGAATGCACATCTGTCTGCACACTCTTAACCAATCAACCATGCTCAGAAACGCACTGTTGGTCTTCGTTATAGTATGAGGTGAAACTGATGATTCATGTGAGTGGTGATAACATCTAGTGAACCCATAGTTAGATCTGAGAAGGAGCGAAAACCTACAGGAGGGTAGCTCTCCAGGAACAGGGTTGGAGACTCCTGTACTAGACTGCAGAGCATTTCTCACTTAATTTTCTCTCCTCGCCTGCTCCGGTCATACAGATCCGCTTCATCCTGATTCAGAACCGAGCAGGGAAGACCCGACTGGCCAAGTGGTACATGCAGTTTGATGACGATGAGAAACAGAAGCTGATTGAGGAGGTGCACGCTGTGGTGACTGTCCGTGATGCCAAGCACACCAACTTTGTGGAGGTAAGGCAGAAGGATTTGCATGATGCCATGTGTGTGCGTTGAAGTCTGTGTGTGCCCTAATGTAGGCTATTCGTTTCTGGCAATTGTATTCGTTGTCACTATCTGGCCATTCTAGAAAGGCTGGAAGCTACCGGGTAGTATAACTCAAGGTCTGGAGCTGCATTTGGCGATCTATTTACTTGGCTTTACAGTGACATAGGCCTAAATTGTAGCATACATTGTGACACTGAAGAGATGGGGGATAAAAGTCTACATTTTCTACTGAGATGCTGTAGCACCAATTGGTTAACCAAGTTGAATTCGATATGCAAATAATTTAACATATCATTGTAAATGAACAAGACTGCTTGGAAGTCATAATTTCAAATCTACTGTAATTATTCTTTGATGAAAAATGAAAAGCACATATTGCGACGCTTGTCTGTCTTGTCTCCAGTTCAGGAACTTCAAGATCATCTATAGGCGCTATGCTGGTCTGTACTTCTGTATCTGTGTGGATGTAACAGACAACAACCTGGCATACCTGGAGGGCATTCACAACTTTGTGGAGGTATGATATGACACTAACACATCAACTCACACGTAGACTGTTTATTGTGATGACACACAATGTGGGAGCTGTTTTAGGTCAATTACTCTTTGGCTGGTTATGTGAAGGAATGTGGGCTAATAAAATCTCCACCTTTTAATAGCTGAATGATTAGGCATATTTTATTGGTGAACTATCGTATTGCTCTGCTCCTACAGCTCTTTGGAATACAGAGTACCACAGTATGAGTCAAAATACCCATAAAACCTAGTTGTCAGATGGAAATAGTTCCAATAGTTTTTCCACCATTCATTTTTCTCATAGGAGATTTTAGAAACACTTAAAATAAGGGCTGTGTTTCGTGCAGGCTTACCCTGGCGTGACGTTTTGATGACCGTGTAAATATCTCTAGGACAATGTGACTTATCAATATATTAGCCTGTATTTACCCCCCTAAATGAAATGCTAATTAGCTACTAATGTGGCTATCATAAAGAACTACAAATGCCATGACGATCTGGATGAGACTGCCGAATCGAGGCAAAGGTAAGAATCTCTGGATTAACTATCTAATGTTAGCTAAATTTAGTCATGAATAAATTGGCAACATTTCTTTAAATGGACAATTCTGTTTTAAATTGACACAATACCAGTTAGCAAAGGTGTCAGCTAGAGATGACGTGCAGGAGCTTGCAGGGATTTGTAGTTTTGCATGATGTCTACTTTGATGCTAATTAGCATTTTCAAATCTGAGAGTAAATAGAGCTAAATATATTGAAAAGTCACCTTGTCTGAGAGAGATTTACTTGATCAAATCGTCACACCAGGGTAAGCCTACACGAAACACAGCCCTTATTTTAAGTGTTTCTAAAATCTCCTATGGGAAAAATGAATGGTGGAAAAACTATTGGAACCATTTCCCTGTTTGACCGCTAGGTTTTATGGTTATTATGACACCTCCAGTGTGGGGCTCTATTTTCTATGCGTTCTTACCCAGTGTAATACACCCCATATACAGTCTGTCAAAAGTAAGACCAAAACAAAGTGGGGGAAGGACAAATCTCTCTAGTGTTCTTCATTCATATTCCCGAAAAGCATTCCCTGAGAGGCGTTCCTCCCGGGTCGAGGGGAAATAGCAGAACAGCTCGCACTGTGCTCCCTGTCCGAGGGACAGGCGGAATGTGGCCGTGAAGGAAAACAGCTGAGATTCCCGACACTTGGTTCAAGAGCACCGCGTCCTGGAATGCTGGACTTCCTCAGGCCCTTAAATGACGAAGGCTGCATCTCAAATGGTTCCCTATATAGGCTAGGGCACTACTTCTGACCAGAGCCTTGTACTATGGATTACACTGTTTCCTAGCTATGAATTAGACTAAATAGTTAATGTAACAAAACCTGACCTCCATGTCTTCTTTTCCCCCTTTAGGTGTTGAATGAGTATTTCCACAACGTGTGTGAGTTGGACCTGGTGTTCAACTTCTACAAGGTAAGAGTAAAAGTGTTGAGATGAATTTAAAAACCAAACACTCTCAGTGCTAAGAGGAAAGACAGAAAGGAGCGGAAGAAACTCGGGGGAGGTGAAAATATACTATTTCAATGTATTTTCTTTCATTGTAATGGGGAGGTGCCATGGCAACGAGGATGGGATACGTAATTACAACATCAGTTTGGCGGCGATTAGTTTTCCTCTACAATAAATACTAAGAAATTAACTCTCCTCTGATGACCGCCCTTTAAGCAGTTATCGTGTCAATTACGTAAGGTATTTCTGAATATTCGCCAACTCGCTGAACCTTAAAGAAGCGCGGCCCACGCTAAAAGTTGCTGCGCTCTGTGATGTCTTCTGATTCACAAAGAAAACAGCAAGTGACAGAAAGCAACATGATGGCAAACATCAGCTCGTCTCAACATCAACCCCCTCTATTAGATCTAGTGCCACAGCAGCAAGGCCTACGCACTGCTAGAAAGATATATTTACGTAATGGGGTGGAGATGAATCTGCAGGATCTATACAGTTCTCCAACACTTCTGTTCTTAAAGCAGTTTGAGCGGTGCAGTAGGCTGACCTCTGACCCGTGTCCTAACCAGCTTCGACCTGTCCTGTCTGTCCCAGGTGTACACGGTGGTGGACGAGATGTTCCTGGCGGGGGAGATCAGAGAGACGAGCCAGACCAAGGTCCTCAAGCAGCTGCTAATGCTGCAGTCCCTAGAGTAGCCAACAGAGCAGTCCATCACCCCCCCCTCCCTCCCTCCCTCCTCTGGAATGGACCCCTCTCATTCACCAGCCTCCATGGAGCAGGCTCCACCCCTTACAGAAACCAGGGGTTTATTCACAAAGGTGCAAGTCACAGAACGTTCAGATAGAAATGCATGGTGTAGAACAGACATTGTTTTCTGTCATGCAGAATTGGGAATCTAGTCAGCTCTACACATTACATTTCTATTTTCAACAATGAGAGTTTCAACCTCCTGATTATGCCCCATAAAGACTGTTTTATTTTGGTGATGAGCTGCAGATATGGCCCTTAACATTTCATTTCTTAACCACCAGTTCAAGTAAAATCATCTGGATGAGTATATTTGCAGCACAGCATACAGCTGTATGCAGCACTGAAAATAAAATGTTCTCTCTGTGCCCTGTCTCAAACTGGAGGCTGCATTTATGGCAGACTAGGGTTGCCAGTTATTCACATGTATCCCACCATCAAGCTTATACTAGTGGAGAGAGCGGATAACAAGGATGCACTGATCTGGCAACCCCAGAGTGGCACTAAAGTAGCTAACAAGCACCAGAAAACCCTTGTAAACTGCCTGTGCTATCCCTGTCTACTCTGCACCATACTTCCGTCTGGGAGAATCACAGTTTAAGCTGCAGAGTGACTAAACCACCGCTACAAATGCCCATTGAATCCATTGACCTCTGGTGGTGGTTCACAGTTCAATGTAGTGCACTTTTACTAAGAGTGCTGTTGAGAGGTCTGGTAATGGCAACCTGTAAAAGGTTGCATCTACTCTGTGATATTAAGGAGATTCTCTGGTCTTAAATAACTGTTAATATCATGTCAGGTTGTATATCAGACAATGCGTCTCCACTCCACATAAGGTGCTTGTTAGTCACACCCAGATATGTTCAAATTTAAATACACTAATACTTTAAGTTAAAGGAAACTCAGAAATAACTTAACAGGAATCTATTTAATGGAAATATGCAGTGATATATTTTACGTGAAGCAGTACTGTGAAGTTTGTTTTGTATGGTGTACATATACAGTATCTTATGCGTAATAGTGTGAAACCATTGTCGTCCATTCCAGGCCTTTCCCCAGCTTATCCTGCCTGTCTCGTCGCTGGGTGTTTAATACACAGATCTGAATTGGGGGAAATTCCATTAATATTCCCTGGTCGCCTCATTCATACTACATAAATGGGGTTTCTAACGTCAACCAGAGGCCAAATGATATGAAAAACTCCAGAGGCACTTGTCTAGTAGGTCTGACAACACCCCTTTGTACCTCTTCTCATTGTAACCATGTCCAGTCTTGCACCTCCCAACACATCACATGTTACTATTATGGTCTGTAAATTTTTGGGGGGATTTTTTATTTTATTTGGCTGTAGTGAGAGATGTACTGCTCTCCTCTCAGTCCTGTGAGCTTGTTAATGGAAGATGTGAGTTTAGGTGTTACTGTCTCCTGTTGCTAAGCTACCCAGTCAGTGTATATACAAAAAAATCAAGTACTAAATAAAGTGTTAAAAATACCTTGTGCTTATTATACTGTAGATCACGTTTTTAATGTGATGAGTCATTGATTTTAAAGTACTGAAGTTGGAAAATGCATCATTCGTTTTTGTAGTGATATCACCATCTAGTGGTAGTAATCTAGCATAGCCTTCACATTCTTGAATCTGCCCTGAGGTCATTCTAACAGCCTCCCAGTGATCGATAAAAATCTATATATCCACTTCAGCTACATTAACCACTCTGCCTGTTACTCCATTGACCCACAAACATAAATTCAGACAATTAGACACTCAAAGCTTTTACCATGTAGACTAGCATAAGAAGTCTTCCCTGATTCACAAACCCCACCCTACTCGCTGACTGTGGCAGATAGGTAACCAGCTTGATACAATGAAGGCGTGTGCACATATTTAAAGACATGATCTGCAATAAATTAAATTCACATTTAAAAAGCAAAGTTTTAGAATAGATCTTTAAAATGAAAATGAACAAGCAACCCTTCCCTGCCAAAAACAATCCAATAGACACACTGAAATCTTATTTACAGCATAGATTATTCAGATGTACAGTAGTTCAATGATTCCATCACATTGGTTACTAAGCAACAACTGAGTTTCTGCTCCATTTCAATTAGAGAAATAACAGGAGACTGAAGGAAGTTAATAATAGGCTGATGGCCATGTGATTAAGTGCTTACGATGCATTCAATAGAATACTCAGCATACACAATGCATTATTGAGACCATGGTTCAATGGTATTAGGGTCAAGCAGCATGGAGTGCATCACTACTATCGTGAGACATGACTGACTGATTGTGGGCAGTCTGTGGTCTACACACTCACATGGGCTCAGGAAGTCACAGTAATCTGTTACATCACCCCTACAACGGCAGCAGTAAGCAATGGGTCAACAAAAAATGGCTGAGTTAATCATTTTACCACAACCCTGGAGAGGGATAACAGAACAGGTGGCTGGCTGATCAGTCAACACTGGGAGAGAAAGGACAAAACCTCAGTTGTTCTTGAGTAAGGAATGATTACCTCCAATTGCTCTTTTTATTACAGTATATTTTTCAATTAATAAAAATCTTACAATTCTATAGATACAGTATACAAACAAAACAATCTCAATAAAAAGTGCACTTGCAGAGGAGAAAGAAACACGAAAATAAAGCAGACATTTCTTTCACACAAAATGGGACCAGTCTTTCTCAGGTTGATGTCACAGTGGCATTTTGATAGCCATCTTCTTTATGCTGGTTCAGTGTAACAGATAAGCTGCTCTTAGTGGAGTGCTAACAGTAGCATTGCTTAGGAATTAGGTATGGGTGCATGGGGCCTGAAATTCTTTAATCTCCTGATTCTATATGACAGTCAGAAAATGATAGGTGATGAGGCAAGACTTTATGTAAGACATGTAAAAACAAAAAGTGCAGTTGAATCTCACAGAACACAGCCTGGCCCTGTAACCTGAATATTTCCCACTAGTGACACTGAAACCAGTCTAGGTTCCTGTGACCGGTCTTTACATGTGAATGCAGAGCAGCAGAGAAATGAAGAGGGCCGAGATGGGGGTTACATTTTGAGAGATAACCTTTCCACCCCCAGGGCGCGAAAGAGCCAGAGATTGAGACAGTGTAACCTTTACATGGCAAAGGCAAGCAGTGACATTAGATATGCAGCTGATAATGGGGAATAACAAGTGGTCATTGGGGTCCTTTGGAAAATCATAAGAAAAGACTGAACTGAAACCTTACTCACCCTTGTGCTTTGGACACGACCCGTAGGCCTTTCTGAGTGCCTCATGGAGTGAATCGATTTCCCTTTGGGAGGTGCTAGTAATGACAGTTTGGAGACATGTGGACTGGGCGGGGGGGGTTGAAGGGACAGTATACATCCACAATGTCAAGCATTTTTCCTCTAAGGCCAGTACTCCACTTGATAAATTGCATTAATTGAAAACAAACCTTGGACAAGTTGTCCATTAGATTAGAATCAATGCCATTTTTACCCAAGGTCGAATTACATGTGGTAACATTTAGACCGGTGGAATCAGTTACATAATATACATCTGAAGCCAGGAGAACAATCAGGGGAAATGGTCGGACAATAATTGAGGAAGCATTCACGACTGACCCAACAACCTGCTCATGGTTGGGTGTTGGTGGAAAATTGCTATTTTCAGGTTGCAGAGCAGTCAAGTTAGGGTTGGGGAGACTTAGGTTTGCCTGGTTATAAGAAGGTGAACAGCAAGATTGATGAGTACTGTTCAGTGCAAACAAAGGTTAAAATCAGCTCATTTAACAAAAGGAAATATAATAGGGAGTCGTCCCGCTGTGATGGTAAAACAAGAACTTCAACCATCAAACAACCTGATAGTGCAGTCTAACAGGCTGCGTATGAATGAGGAAGTTGACCATGTTTGTTTTGCATTTCATCCTTTATGGACTTTGTTACAGGCGGTGTGTGTACTGTCTATGTTTGTGTGTGTGTGTGTGTGTGTGTGTGTGTGTGTGTGTGTGTGTGCATGCAAGCGTGTGTTGATAAAAACTACAAAAGGAAGGGTAAAAACAGGACATCCCCTACACACAACCCCTGACCATGACAGTCATCCCAGATATGGACTCTTCTTATGTTCACACCACAGGGTCTCCCAGCCTAGGACCCAGGAGCCCAGGTAACCTCCATTGGCAGGAAGTATAGTCTCTTACCAATGGTCAGGGGTTGCAGGTCATCTCCATGGCGACTGGTCCAGGTATGCTGTAAGTGTTTAGGTGGTTGCAGAAGGGAGAGGGGGAGGAGTCCTGCACATCCCAAAACACCTAGAGCTGAGAGGGAGAGATATGTTTATACATTTTGATCAATTATTCTCTAAAGCCACATTTAATCAAAGCATGGCAGTCTACTGACCTTTAGGAGGCGTCCTGTGTGTGTGGGAGTAGGGCTGAAGGGTGAGGGTGGGGTCCAGTCCCTAGCAGTTACACTGCTGCTTGGTCTGTGCAGTGGAACCTCTGGGCTGTCTCAGCTGCCTCAGAGAAGAATCTCCATACTGGATACCTGAACCCATCCGTTCTGGGTCCAACTCACCTGACAGAGGTAAGCATGAACACACATACATTGCATTTGGAAAGTATTCAGACCCCTTCACTTTATCCACATTTTGTCACGTTACAACCTTATTCTAAAATGGATTAAATAAAACAATTTCCTCATCAATCTACACACAATACCCCATAATGACAAAGTGAAAACCGGTTTTTAGAAATTTTTGCATATGTATTAAACATAAAAAACAGAAACACCTTATTTACTCAGACCCTTTGCTATGAGAGATCCTTATTCAGACTCTTTGCTATGAGAATAGAAATTGAGCTAAGGTGCATCCCTTTTCCATTGATTGTCCTTGAAATGTTTCTACAACTTGATTGGAGTCCACCTGTCGTAAATTCAATTGATTGGACATGATTTGGAAAGGCACACACCTGTCTATATAAAGGTCCCACAGTTGACAGTGCATGTCAGAGCAAAAACCAAGCCATGAGGTCGAAGGAATTGTCCATAGAGCTCCGAGACAGGATTGTGTCGAGGCACAGATCTGGGGAAGGGTACCAAAAAATGTCTAAAGCATTGAAGGTCCTCAAGAACACAGTGGCCGCCATCATTCTTAAATGGAAGAAGATTGGAACCACCAAGACTCTTCTTAGAGCTGGCCACCCAGGCCAAACTGAGCAATCAGGGGAGAAGGGCCTTGGTCAGGGAGGTGACCAAGAACCCGATGGTCACTCTGACAGAGCTCCAGATTTCCTCTGTGGAGATGGGAGAACCTTCCAGAAGGACAACCATCTCTGCAGCACTCCACCAATCAGGCCTTTATGGTAGAGTGGCCAGACGGAAGCCACTCCTCAGTAAAAGGCACATGACATGCCGCTTGGAATTTGCCTAAAGGCACCTAAAGGACTCTCAGACCATGATAAACAAGATTCTCTGGACTGATGAAATTGTTCGGTGCATGCTCTGAAAACGCGCCCTGGAATACTGTCGGGCCTTGCGGGTGTTGACCTGATTAAAGACCTTTCTCACGTCGGCCTCAGAGAGCGAGATCACCCAATCTTCTGGGTCGGTGACGACCCTCACACCCGGCACAATGTTGTTGTTGTCAAAGCGTGCATAAAATGCATTGAGTTCGTCACGGTTGGGTCTTCCTTTGCAATCCGTAATGGATTGTTGCCCCTCCCACATGTGGCGGGTGTCGGAGCCTGTGTAATATGATTCCACGTTTTTTCTATATTGTCCTTTTGCTCGTTTGATGACTCTGCGGAGGTCGTAGCGGGACTTCTTGTACTTATCCTGTCCTCGGTTGTTGCCTCAGGGTTGTCTACGATAGCACTGTGCCTAGTATCCCTGTCATTTAGGTTAGCAACCAACCTCTTGCTTGTTTATAGCCTTGTACAGTTTGTTAAGTGCCAGCTTGTTGTTTTTCTTGTCCTGAGGTGGAATGTTTACAACAGTCACAATAACAGCTGAAAACTCCCTCGGGAAGTAAAAGGGTCGGCATTTGAAGACAGCTATTCCAAGACAGTGGTGAACAGTGGATTGACATTTCCACTGTGCTGGAGGTAGCACACCAGTTGATGTAGAGGCAAAACCCTCCCCATCTCGATTTCCCCTACTCCTCTGTCCACCCAGGGAATGGAGAATCCATTGAGTTGGATAGCCATGGGGAGGTATCTTGTCCGAGAGTCATGTTTCAGAAAAGCAAAGAATATTGCTGTTTTGAGAGTCCGGTTGGTAGCAAATCCGCGATCAGAGGTCATCCATCTTATTATCAAGTGGCCAGTAGAATGGAGGGAAGAGGTGGCCGTTTTTCCCTTTGCCTTAATCTCACCAGGATCCGCCACATCTTGCCTCTGTAATGCCGGCATTTCCCCTGGGTAGGCCAAAAATTGGGTCGGAATTACAGAGAGCCCAGGGCAGATGAGTCTACGTTGAAGCCGGAATTGGAGTAAGTAACTGCCAATCTGATATTCAAAAGTTAGTGTCGGTTGCAAGAAATAATAGCGGATACATTTCGTGAAAATAAAGTCAAAATAAACGACAAAATAATCACAAAATAGCAAAGTTGGGTCAGAGCTTGCAAAACAGTGGCCATCCAGTACGGTGCCATCTTCTTGCTGAAACACCTCATGTTTCAGCATGATAATGCACGGCCCCATGTTGCAAGGATCTGTACACAATTCCTGGAAGCTGAAAATGTCCCAGTTCTTCCATGGCCTGCATATTCACCAGACATGTCACCCATTGAGCAAGTTTGGGATGCTCTGGATCGACAGCGTGTTCCAGTCAATATCCAGCAACTTCACACATCCACTGAAGAGGAGTGGGACAACATTCCACAGGCCACAATCAACAGCCTGATCAATTCTATGCGAAGGAGATGTGTCGCGCTGCATGAGACAAATGGTGGTCACACCAGATACTGACTGGTTTTCTGATCCAAACCCGTACCTTTTTAAAAAAAAGGTATCTGTGACTAACAGATGCATATCTGTATTCCCAGTCATGTGAAATCCATTGATTAGGGCCTAATTAAAATGTATTTCAATTGACTGATTTCCTTATATGAACTGTAACTCAGTCAAAAAATATTAATTGTTGCGTTTATATTTTTCTTCAGTGTACATTAAACCAAGAAAGACAAAGGCACACACATATAGCTAGGCGTAAACAACATGAGACATCCCAAAATCATACATATTGAACTTGTTTGATAGTAAGATTCAAAATCAAACAGATACACTTTTTTAGCACACACACCAGCCTCATAAGTAAACTGTTTGTTTACCTGACTCTATCTTGTTGAAGATGGTACGGGCAGTTTTGAGGAAGGCCTCCTCCACGTTCTCCCCTGTCAGAGCGCTGGTCTCCAGGAACATCAGCTCTGTAACAGTCAACCCAGTCAGTCAACTCGATACTCTAATCCCAATTAAACGAATACAGGCCTAAAAACTAGTGGAAATTACAACTATCTGAGATCAGAGTTGACTAAAAGGGGAGAAAGGAAAAAGGGGAGCGATGGAGTGGGGAAAGGAAGGGTGACAGACAGTTGTGAAAGGAGAGCCAGGGAAACGGCCTGAGTAGAGGAGGGTGAGAGATGGACAGACAGTTACCGTTCTCCTGTGCGAAGCGGGACGCCTCGAGGAAGGTGACCTCTCGGTCTGCATCCAGGTCCTTCTTATTCCCACACAGGATGATGACGATGTTGGGGCTGGCCAGCGTCCGTGCGTCTGTCAGCCAGTTGGTCAGGGCGTTGTACGTCTCCCGGCTAGAGGAAAGACACACAGACCGACATGCCAGGCACAACAGACAGAGAGGAGGGGAGAACTGATTTCATCACGTTTCATTAGGAAAGGTATGTTCAATTGGGATGGGATGTTACTTTGGAAAAATCTAAGTTTTAAATGGTGTGTTCATGACAGCATCAGAGGTAAAATACAAGAAACCCTTAGATGAGTGGGGAGATGATAGAGGTTGAGAATATTAGCAGTTTTCAAACTCACACTTTTCAATACATCTCTGTGGGCTAATGTTATTTTTGCTCCAAATGAGAAGGTAAATATAGAACGTCATCCTTCGCTTTCTCTTCCTCAAGCACAGATGGAGTCCGATACCACGTCACACCTTGGTTTTTTTCGTGAAGTCCCCATCACCATGGTGACCGCATGCTGGTGTCCATGGCGACGTGAGAACAGTGAGCAGAAGGGTGTAGAGTACTAATGTCCCACAGCTGCAGTGAGGCGGCTAAACCATGACGTCAGCGATGACGACCCATCTGCCTCGGTGTAGCTAACACACACACACACACACACGCACACACACGCTTCCATCTCTCCCTCTCCCCATATTCTCTCCCTCCCTGCTCTCGTTTCCTCCCTCCTCGCTCTCTCTCTCTCTCTCGCTCAGTTGACACTGTCTAATGGAGTTTTGCTTTCCGGGCTGCTGCCGCCTGTCTGGAGACCCCACTTTATTACAGCACTGTCATTCTGCATCACACACACACTTTATTAAAGCTCACCCGGCATTATACCATTCACTCCATCTTGATTATGAGACAGGCAGTGCCATGGCAACTCTGGGCTTATTAAATAAAAACTCTTGGCTTGGTGCTGCCATACAAATGTCTCCATCTCTGACTCAGTGTCTTAGTGCTCCTGACTCTCCATAGGCCTGTTGAAATTCAACAGCTCTATTCGGTCTCTCCGTGCTCTATGCTAACTCACGCGTCTGTGTGCGTGTACGAGTGACCACTAAAACCAGTGTGCTTTTGTCATGGGTCCATCATTGGTTCACCTACCTTGTGATGTCATAGACAAGCAGCGCCCCTGCCGCTCCACGGTAGTAGCTACGAGTCACAGACCTGGGGGAGGGCAGACAGACAGCACCGTTAACCAATCACAGAACCAGAATCCAACCTGTCAACCAATGAGAGCACGGGTCAGAGGTAACGGCACTCAGGGTAACCAATGGGAGATCTTTACCTGAAGCGCTCCTGTCCGGCTGTGTCCCAGATCTGTAGTTTGACTGTCTTACCCCCGACGTTGACCACCCTGGAACCAAACTCGACCCCGATGGTGTGGTTGGAGTCCTGCTTGACTGCACAGCCAGAGACAAATCGGGAGAGAAGCCACAATCATCACTGCATTGTTTGTTTATGTCTCATATCTTTTACTCAAATGTCTGTTTTTACAGATGGCTGGTTTGTGAAAGACAACCTTGGCTAAAGGGTAAAACCCCTATAGGTGTGACTGCCTAGTTACTAGGCCTAAGTTGCCAAGACTTCACAGAAACGTTTCCTGGTTAATACCCAGAGTCACAGTGCTGATCTATATTGTGCTGGTGCATTGTGCTTGTTTTAAAACCAGAACAGTTAGCTTCAGAAGCCTCATCAGCATATCAGAGGGTTGAGGAGCTACTGCCTCTCGCAGGTCCAGAGATGAACACAGTCAAAGCCCTTCTCTCACGCTACTGACAGGACTGGGAGTTAGAGGTCTTTATCGCATGTACACATCAGTGTGCATGCGTTGACATCCGCTACATGAGTGTGTATGTGCGTGTCAGTGTGCAGAGATATTCTATATTATTGTACATAAACGATGCATGTGGGTGTTGTTTATTTGCAGGACAGGGGGCGACCGGCATCGGCACTACTTACACTTGGTCTCAATGAACTGGTGGAGGAGGCAAGATTTCCCTGCCCCAGCACTGCCAATCACCAGGAACTTAAACAGGAAGTCTGAAATGAGAGAGAGCGGGGACAGAAATCAATACACCAGCGGCTCAAACTGTTGAGACCAATCCTTAACTCTTCCTGTGATCATGAGCTGCTCTCTGTCACAGAGTTGCCAATGGTCCCAAGTTAGCTGGCTAATCACTACCTTGCGTGTGAGTGTGATGTTAACATTGATGCTAATTTGCTATGTGACTTGTTAAAGAAGGATGGAGGTAAAATAGACTTCTAAAATTAACAATGAGAGGTTGTGTTGTCAACCACTGACAGGTGTAATCCCATAGGTCCTCACTCCTCGCTTTGAGAGAGATTGAATTGTTTCATCCTGTCGGTCTCCTCAGGCTTTGGAACTAATCCTGATTTCCCCCAATAAAAAGCCATGTTTATCTGTTTGGTGTGGCTCGTCTCGGAGTGTACGCTGAGTGGCAGTGATAGCATCCAGGAGCCCTGCCCAAACAGTCTCCCAGCCTCTGACCTCATACCACCCTCTCTTTGGTGATGTCATCCCCACTGACCAAAGGGCTCGATGACTCAGAGGTTCACTGATACCTCACACATTAGTTCCTCAATGTTGCAGCGCAACCACTGACTAGACAGATAGACAGGCTACTAGCTAGGTGAACTCCATGCAACTAGCCTGGGTGTTCCACTGACTTTCAGATGCAGTGTTTCCCCTATATTCAATCATGGCTACCACTAAAAAAATTTAATAAAAATATACACACACTCTCCCTGACTGTCTATATTTTTTTTTATAAGATCATCTGTGAGATCTAACAACCACCTAAATAAAAACTAGACAGTCAGGGAGAATCATAAATTCCTAAAATGGCATGGCATGGGGCCCCCATTGATTTTGTTATAATGTTTGAGTCATTCAGATAGCATAAGAACACAGCATCAGCCATAGCAAAATGTGTAAAACTGTAGAAAATTAGCTTTAAAACAGCAACATTGTGTCTCTGCGGCCATTGGCCACGCCCACTACCCCCGCTAACTTTGCCATAGCTGCTGAAAAATATCCTAGGGGAAACACGGAGGTGGCTACATGGCTGCAAGTGTATAAGAATGGAGGCAGTCTATTCACAAATAGTCTATGTATAGCCGACCGGCCGAGTACATCTGCACAACATAGATGGGTTACACTGGGCAACTGCACAGATCTAGTGGTGTGTTGGACCGGGTCTGGTACTTGACCCATCCTACGCACATGACCGTCTGGCTGAGGCCCTGACGTGTGGGACAGAGCTGTCCAAAGACGGCCTTTGTGCCTTGACCACAGATAGGGCAGGGGCCATTTGCATGCGTAGGCCAGGGTTCCACCAAGCCATACAGGGAACAATGGGGAATTGAAGAGGGAGAGGCTGGCTGTGTGTGGAAAGGAGCAGCAGTGGTAAAGAGTGCAGCATGCACAAGTTTATCTCGCTCGCTCTCTCTCACACACACAAACACACACAAGTGAGTCAAGCTGTAGGAGAAACACACAGGCCCCTCTGAGTTTCAAGCCTAGTTGTTGCATTTACTAGGAGCCTATTTCAATTAGATTTCCAAATCTGTTAGTGGCTGACTTTTCTCCTCAACTTTCTGACCGATTTGCAGATTGGATGCTATTGACCACTCTGCTGCTAGTAGGCTAATCAGCTAGGCTACATGCTCTGCTGTACCAAAGCAGGCCAGTCAAATACAGAGTCAATATGGTAACTGAAGTAAATGACTCGACTCACACTGATGAAAGGAAAGAGCAGGGGATGAGATTGATCCTTTGTTCTTCTGTGACATTTAAACACAGTTCTTCTGCAGCCAGCTATTCTCCAACCCATACATTCACCATGGACTATTTATACTAGTGTGTGTGTGTGCGCTTTACTCAAGCAACATAACCTTGAGGACACCTTCATGGCAAGGTAGATACCCACTACAGGCATTATCACACCTTGTTTTCTGTCTCTCAGCGGCCACACTTCTCAAAGACAAGCTGTGTGTGAATGTGACAGATGGAAAAAGCCTGTCTAGGCCTTACCCCGGAAGGGAATAGTTGAGTCATAGTGTTTACACCATACTAACAACACAAGTATGTTGTTGTGTAGAAGCTATAGTAAAGTGGGCAGGATTCTGCAGGAAAAGGAGCATGATCAGTGACCATACACACACACCCTCCTGTTCTACAGTCTGCCCTTCAGTCTACCTGCTCTGAAATCAGACCGCTGTGTTACCTCTGGAGCCAAGCCATATCATCTCTTACTGTGCTGGGCTTCATCAGTGCGTGTGTGTGTGTGTACATTAAGTCTCTCCCCTAACCGAGACAATGTGATGCGTTTTGTGTTTAGGTAAAGAATAAAGTACAGTCGGCCTATTCATTCACTGAGAGCCAAAGTGAATTCGTGAATGCAGCTTCTGTTACTGTCTGCTTTGTGTAGTCACGGGTCTCCCCTGTGACACTTGTCCTGCCCTCCTTTCCTTTATCCCTTCTAGTACTTAGAAGGAAAAAAAGCCAATGAGTAAATCAATGAAGACTATTACAGCTGTCCTCTATACATCATTAGTGTAGAGCACTCCACTTCTAATGTTGACCTGCTGGTGTAGCATTTCAGAGAGCAAGAGAGAGGAGCACAAGGAAATACTACATCATTATTGAGTGAGGGAGGGAGACACAGATGGAGAGATACGTGTGTGTGTCAGCAGGGGGTTGAGCAAGCTGCAACAGGAGAGGGGTGAGTACGCATGGTGTGCTGTTGCAAAAACAAAAACCAATCCATTCGCCACAGCATAAGAAAATGAATAGGCCTGGCTACAGTAAAACCCTTGGCTACCAATAGTCGCCATGTCCAAAGCATGTTTACAAAGTTCACATTTATATTTCGCCATAAAGATTCCAAGACAATGGTGAAAGGAAGATAAAACTGCAATATTTCCATTGGTGAGAATAACAAGATTGTTTGTTAGTAACAAACCAACGTAAATGTCTTGGCTCCCATGGAATTGTATATGTAATCGTCCAACAAACACCTAGCTTGTTTTGATTTTAAAAGATGTAGGTTACATTGCAGTTTAAAAAGTGACATGAGAAGAGTTTAGATTAAATGTGGAATATAATGAATAGAATCCCCATTCTAGCTGACAAGTCAAGCAAGCATACATCCCCCCAGCACATACACAGTTCATGGAAATATGCACACACACAACACAAGATGTTTGTTTTGGGATTTCTACAGTTCTGAAAACCAGTCAGGCTTTTAAAGCTCTTAAAAATTAATATGTTTACATGCACACTAATAATTTGATATTAAACTGATTATGGCAGTAGGCAGATTATGCAATAGTCATGTAAACACCTTAATCTAATTATCTTAAATCGGTGTAAGGTCCAAATCGAAGTAAGCATACACCGATTAAAACACCTGGTTTTCTGAGCAATCTTTCAAATTATTAGGTCATATTAACACCTTAAATCGGTGTTCCAGCGGTGTATTTGATCTGAGCATGTGCTAGCACCAGCCGAGCAAGCCTCCCTCTTTAGCGCAAGTAAAGTGTGTTCGGAACAACTTAATGTATGCGTCTTAGAAGTAGTTTTCACATACAAACTTTATATGTCCGAACTCAGAATCAAATATGCTTCCCAAAAATAGCATGTTCGCTGTGGTAGAATGTTTATTTTGACTGCCAATTTTCTGCATTTATCAGTGCCATCAGGTAGCCTGATTTCAGATGTGTCCATGTAAAACAGGATTATTAGGGAAATCGTTCTCCTTGCAAAGCATGTAATAGTTTTAATCATACTAGCTATTATATTAATCTGACTATCCACAATAATCACATTATTGTGTGCATGTAACCGCACTCAAAGACATCTTTGTTACAGTTCAGAGGAAGTCACATGCAAACAGTATTACTGTCTTGTTTCAATTTTTTATATGAATTCCAGATATGATCTCATCTGGACTGAAGAAAAATATTGCAAGCTAGTTATGAAGGTGATGAGGATGTTGTTATCTGGCCGCTGGGGCTGTGGTGTCAATGCAACTGCATCAGATCAGGCCTCTCCAACCCTGTTCCTGGAGAGCTACCCTCCAGTAGGTTTTCGCTTCAACCCCAGTTGTAACTAACCTGATTAAGTTTATCAACCAGCTAATTATTAGAATCAGGTGCGCTAGATTAGGGTTGGAGTGAAAACCTACAGGATGGTAGCTCTCCAGGAACAGGGTTGGAGAGCCCTGTGATTGATAAATGACAGGTCGTTAGCAAAAAGCAACAATGAATCACTTGAGAAGTTAGCTAACCCCACCACTTCCAATTTTTTAATCCCAAGGACACATGGCTAACTAGCTAATTAAAATGGGGGTTGGTTAAATTAAGCCAAAGGACTGCAAATACAGCTTCTAGCGATTACTAAATGTATTATCGTAAACTATGCCAATTTTTTTGTTGCCAATATTTCCATATAAATTACTTATTGACTAACTTTAGGACACAACTCCCTCTGGGAGTCCAAACAATACAAAGACTCCTGATGTTGTGTCCCAAAACGACTTCTTCCCCATTTTAGGAAGCACACCCCGCTTCTCTCTACCCACTCCTTCTGGCTACGAGACAGTGGTGACACGACTCAGTGTTGACTTCAAGATACCTAGTGGAAATGACGGTGCTGAATGCATCTACAAACAAGCATCCTGACCCCAGCAGGTACAGTAGAAGTTACACATGTAGATTGCTAGCTCAGAGACGGAAGAGGAAGCAAGAAAATCAATTAACTAAGTAGACCAGTTCCAGCTGATATTCCATTTGTGTCTATGGGAGACCTACCACGTTAAGTAGACCGGAACTGATTATTTTTGTTCAATGGTAAACGGCCCGAGTGAACTATCTTCATTTATCCACCATCTTTGGCTAGCTAACTAAACGTACCGTATGTTTCAGACATGTCGGCCCCCGCTTTAAAAACGATGGACTCAGATGGCTTTCCTTAGTTGGTTTCTTCGTACGTTATGTGAAGGATGTTGTTGTTTTCTAAAGTAGCAATTACACCTCCTTTTAGATATCTGACTTCGCCACACAGTTTCCTTTCCTCCTCCAACAACACAAGTTCTTCTTCGATTAGGTTTAAAGGCGGTTGCCATCCAATAAATGTTGCATTACCGCCACCTGCTAGATTGGAGAATAACTCCCTTATACTTTGTTTGAAAAAAATAAAGATAAATAAACTACCATCTAACACTACACTCACTAAAACAAATATATATATATATATATATATATATATATATATATACAAAATAAATAAATAAACACCATACTCCACTTTTTAGTCCTACTTCAGGCCTACAGCCTGAAAGGATGGGACACCACCACTTAACACACCCTGCAACTCTTCTGACGTCAAGTATCGCACACCCAAATACCTCTCTGCAGCTGCCACCACAACCTCAACTTTCTGCGACTTACGTTCCATCCCTGCAGTACAGTTGATAACCATTGCTATAAATGCAAAAAAATCTAATCTTACTGAAACATATATCACTTGTTGGTTTATCACTCTGTACTGGTACAGATCTACTACTCACACCACTCCTCTCAAGATCCCTCCCCCTTGACTCGTCTTCCTCTACGTTTTTCACTGCATTAGCATATGACAACTTCTGCATTACTCTAACCCTGGAAACCTCAACCTGCCTCTCTTGCACCTGACATTTCTGATCACCAGCCCCATGGGCACCCCTACAATTAACACATACCACTACTTTCATAATCCATAGAATTAGGAATTAGAGTACTTAATTTAATAATCTCGTAAACCCGACCCTAGGGAGCGTGGATACATTGTGGGAGTGAACAAGTCTGCCTAGGGAGACTATAATCAGATAGGATAGGAAACTTTAGCCTAGGTACCAGTCTGTTGGAGTTATCATTCCTCTCCTTGGAACTCCTTGTCATGCTAAGCAGTTTATCTTTATTTTGGTGAGTAACGAAAGTATATTGAATCCAGTCACTTAACAAATTGGTCAAGAATTTCATCTATGGACAGCAATTATTATTAGTGATTCACTATACTGCAGCCGTTGCCAGGGCTGGCAACTTTTGAAGAAAGCTTGGAGTGAGATTTTGTCTAGACTGGGTCTGGGGGTCCTCTCCCAGGAAAATTGTACTCTTCTAAAGCTCATTTCCTGCAATTCTATGTATTTTGACATGGCTTAGGCCCATGACCAGGGTGAGAAAAAAACACAGGTCAGGTGTATTCAGAATGCTTTGAACATGAAATGAACACTCAAAATTCGACGACTTTGTTACTTTGAGATTTTTGGGGGAGGAAATTTTAAGTATGCTAATATTTTATTAAACATATTTTTTTTGGTAGTTTGACACTTTATTCAGACAGTAATTAAATTAGATGGGGAGACAGGCAAATGGGAGAAACAGTGGGAAGGTCAGTGGGAATGCTCTGCACAGGAAATACTCATATTAATGGCTGATGGCAGTGGGTAACCAAATCATAGACTGCAGTCTCCTTGTCCATAGACTGCTTTCAAGGTAAGGACACAAACATTTTGTATTTTGTAATTTTGGTGAACTATCTCTTTAAAATAGGACTAGAAGAAAATCCTGCTTGCTCTCCAGGAGGGTTAGCCACCCCTGATCTATGTTTCCCAATGGGTGTTTAAAAATATTCTTGTTATAACAATTAATTTCTCAATCACCCTACCTTTGAAAAAAAAATCTAATGAATATCAATATTCAGGTGGTATATGCCTGTAGCTCAGTTGGTAGAGCATGGCGCTTGCAACGCCAGGGTTGTGGGTTCGTTTCCCACGGGGGGCCAGTATGAAAATGTATGCACTCACTAACTGTAAGTCGCTCTGGATAAGAGCGTCTGCTAAAATGACTAAAATGTAAAAATGTACTAGTTGAAGATCCTTTCCATCATCTTACTCTACATAGACAAAATATATGATGCATTTATGAGTCCCCCTACCATCTCTGCCTAGCATGTGCACAAAACTAAAATGGCCTGGAGCAATTAATATCCAATGCTTATTCAAAACTGTCCATGAATGGCTGCAAAAATACATAGCCTCATATAATTCATTTTCAAAGACACAAGTTGACATATCAGACACTGGAAAAACAGATTTACACTTTTGGGTTCACAATCTGTTTGACAAAATTATTTTCATAGTTACATATCAGGTCACCCTACCAAACTTCCTGCTAAAACAGTCTGTCTGCTGCCTTTTGGTTGTCAC